CCCAAAGCAATTTGTTTGATAAATTTTTTTATCAAAAGTTCTAATTTTTATAAGAGGCCAGGTCGTCATTTGCCCTTGCAATTTAGTTTAACCCTTCTAAAAGGTTGACAATTGATTCATTATGTCTCTCACTCTTACGTAAGTTATTACGGGTCATCTCGAGAAGTTGAAAAGCAGTTCTATATCGAATGCTTTGAGACTCCAGGAAGTACAGTGTATAATTACAGGAATTAATTTTTTAAAAGATAATTAATGTCTAATTAAAATCTAAATGGTCCGTCTATAAGCCTAGACAATGTCACAGCAGATATAAAGTAACCAACATTTGTACGGAACCACTTCCTCAAAGAAGAATGACAAAGAGTAAGTTGGAAATAATTTTACTTACTGTGAGAATTTGCCAGCGACCCAATCAGCCCAAGAGCCAGTCTTCTCTTTAGCATCGTCCATTGCTTCAGAAGCACTTTGCTTAACCTGTTGACCTTTGTTATTCATCTCTCCCGCCGCCATATTTGCTTTCTCCGCCGCCTCCTCTCCCCAACACCAGCTCACGGCCAACATCCCCACCACCGACACTACAAATAATGCTGTCCTCTTCCCCATTTTTTATACTTACTGATTATTGTATTATTATTAAGACTACTTTCCAGTTTCTTATTCGTAATTTTCAGTTTTTTCGAATTACAGAAGGGTGAGAGTAAAACATGAAGATATATATAAGAGAGCGTTTAAACTTTGGAAGTTGACAGAGCGGTTCTTTAGAGAGGACAAATAGCGACGTGGATGTATGTGAAGAGAGGTCTTCTGTTTTACTGCCACGTAATAAAAATGGCTAAGACCAGGTCTCTGCCGTTGAATATTTTTAGTGGGTAATTTTCTTACAGCTTTGAGGATTTCACTCTCAACCGGCGAAGAAATTTCCGAATTTATCTGTCAAAGTTCTTTCATTTTATTTTCTTCACTCTTTCTTTTGTTTTTTTCAACCACTACTATCCGTGCGCGTCGCGCGAAGAATCTTAAATATAATTTTTCATACAAAAATATTACTTTAAAAATACGATAAACAAAAGAAGCATATAAATAATATTATTGTATGAACATGTAAATGCATTATCAGTATACATATAAAATAATAAATTGCATCACAAAGCCTTATAACAACACAAATGAGTCTCTACAATTTACTGTTTTGACATAAGTCTCTCAAATGGTGTTTGAGTATGCAATATGAGCCCATGACAAGTCACTCCACTGTCATAATGTACTTTAATATTGTTTTCTCAAAAAATTCGTCTTCTTTATTCAATTGCTCAATTGCTCTCTGAATCATCTGTAAAAAAAAGTGAGAGTATTAATGGTAGTTGTTAAACTTTGTATGGAATTTTTCAACACAGTTGCAGGGAAGAAGCTTTACGTGTACATATATATATATGTATGTGTGTGTATACGTGTGTACCCCTTTAACCCTTAGATTTTAGCTCTCCTTAAACCTTAGAAATATATACTATCTTGAATTTTTAATTATCTCCTTCAATGGCGATCGTCCTAGAGCCCTTCCCTCAAAAAACTTGTGATAAAAACAGTGAAGATTCTGATAATTTGTTAGTAATAATACCTTTATTTTTGTGGTCTTCTTGGTTGGTCTGATGGTTGGTTTTATTTGGACATTCGAATACCATAAAGCTTATTTTGAATATCCACTTGATGAACATCAACCATCAAATTACAGTTCTAACGCAACCCCTATACTTTATATAATATTTTTGTATCCTCTCACAATTAATAAGGACACAAAAAATTCTTCTGAATAAATTAAATTAAACAATTATCTGAGCGTGGCGAACGACACGATTTAGTTCTTCTTTCCTGAATCGTCGCAATCTCAAAAATTCAATTGTTAATAACTAATTGAACTTCTCCAATACTATGAAGCTTAAGCTAGTGAAGTAAATTATAGTAGTTAAAGTGGATGGTCCCACCAATCGAGTTTTCAGTTGAGAGAAGAGCTTTGTTTCAATACAATATTTCAAGTGCCTGAGAAATGAAAAGTAATAATGTAAAGGTATGACAAATAGCAAAGCTTCTTCAGGAACAATTCAACTGCCTAAGAAATAAAAAGTAATATCAATGTAATTTGCACTCGCACGAAGTGACGTACAACTATAACTATTAAGGAATAGGAGGAGAATATACCACAAAAATAGAAGCAAGCTTTGCCGAATGATGGAGGAGATCAAGTCGGTCTTCTGCCACCATATGTAATGGTCAAAATAGCACGGAGATATTACTGACTGTTTTCATGGACCGGCCCAACAAAACATAAACAAATGCTCAAACGCAATCAAGTTATAGCTACAAAGTAATAATATTTTAATTTATTAGTTATCTATAATAAAACATATATATCACAAGCTATTAAGTCTTTAAATTGTATGTTGATAGTTAATTTTAATTTCACTAACATATTCCTTCAATTAGTTAACAGTCTATGAACTTATAGCCACATTGTTATTTCTCCATCAACTAACAATTCCATCAATCAAGCAAGTAAAACTACAAAGGTCAGCACCAACCATTAATTATTGCAATAATATTTTCAAAAGTTAATAAAAATAATTTTATTAAAAATTATATTTCCACATTGTTGCATTAATCTTTTTATGTCAAGATCAACAACAAAAACTTACTTCATAAGGTCTGAAAATACGTTACAATCTTAGTACAAAACCAACAATACCAAAATAGTTAATCTGAAGTTAATAAAAATTAGTCAATAGATATGAACCTCATCGCGACTTGTATCGATGATTTCTTTCACCTGTGAAACCTCTGAAAATGAAAAATGTTAGTATTCACAAATTACTTGACTTCATGGGAATGATCTTCACTTTGGGGCTAACAGGCATAACTATCTCATCATGAGTAGAAGATTTGAATGCAAGAACCTTCATGTTAGTGGCCTTACTGAACAAAATTTCGAGAACATTAAATGTCTCCTTTGTTTATCATTCTTAAAGGTGAAGCAAAGACTCAAGGGATTACTTCATTATAGGAAAACCACCAATCACTGGAGAATTGACTTTCAGTTGAATAAATTTGGCATTAGATAAGTTTTATCATCCGCAATTCCATGATATGGATATGGAATCTCCTGATATTTCAAGTGCACCATGGTAGCTTGATAGTAAACTCAAGTTGTAACTCTATAGAAGTGCGAGTGAAAAAAATGAAAACGTTAATTGAATCGTCTTTGCTGGGTTTAATTAGTGACTCTCACTATATCTACAAACAGCAAAACTTAAGCATAAATCTGCGTTCAAGTACATACTGAATAAGTAGAGCAATTCCTAATACAATAAATTTACAAATGACCAGATTATTTTACCAAAAGCAAAATGCAAAAGTTTAACCATAGATGATGTTAATCTTGCTTATATACTTTACATGACAAAACTAATATTTGTAGAGTCAATAGTAGGATGTTGACAAAAAGTTCGAGCTTAAAGCTAAATGCTGCATTTTGTGTTAATAATCAACCTCAAGGGGAAAGCGAGACTCCAAAGATATGTAGGCATCAAAATTTTAAAAACCAGAAACATACTAATAGTACTGAGATACACGCCGCTGTGGTTGTACACAACTCATTTGAGTGGGGACGTTGTTCCGAAAGTATAATAGACACTGATTAGATCAAATTCAGCTTTTTGGCTACTTTATTATAAAATTGAAACAGAGTACTGCCAAAAGATGTTCATATTTGTGAATGTCATTAGGAGACAATGTCAAGAGTATAGAAGGAAAGGAATATCAGATTCAAAGATTACCACAAGAATTTGTGGTTTAATTGTTTGTCTTTTGATAGAAGACTGATTGCTCGTTCAGTAATTTGGAGCAAATGCTGATTATCAAATATGATTACGACTTCTAAATGTTTTAGTAAGCCAGCTATCATCAACGAATCAAAACCTTTTTTTAATGTACAAATAACTGATGAACGAATGTGCAGCACGAAAGACACGATTTATTGATATTACCACTTCCAAGGACTTCTACCGAATTTTCAGCGGACTCCAAATTGGTAAGATACAAAATGTCATTCGCTTCATTTATTTTTATAAAATTTTATTGCATTTTAACTGCATATTTCAATGGTTTGAACATTAATGATGTCTACAATTTTGCAAATTTGTTGTGCATACATTATGTTTGTCTCTGGTTATAAATTAACCTGATTAATACATCAACAACTATCAGCTTGACTGTCATGGTTTATGCAGAATCCCTGCAGTTTACTACCTCTGTACCATTTTCTGATCAGTTGGACTGTCATGGTTTGTGCACACATTATGTTTGTCTCTGGTTATAAATTAACCTGATTAATACATCAACACTATCAGCTGGACTGTCATGGTTTATGCAGAATCTCTGCAATTTAACTACCTCTATCCCTTTTTGTTAGATCTATATCCTACTTTAGTCTATTACAATGTTAAGTGTTGGATATAATTTATTGGACATCATTTTCTTTAAATTTTACACCAATTCCACAATGCATTGCCACTCTAGTGAAAACAATTATGTTAATGTACAAATAACTGCTCAAGCATTTGGTTAAACTATAATACCAACCATTAAATACATAGAGTTCCAATTACCATAGTTGTTGTCAAATCAACCATGAAAACTAAAAGAAAAATGCAGCAAAAATCTGCAAAAAAAAAATAGTCCGAAAGGTTACCTGAACCCCTAAAAAATGCAGCTCTAAAGCCACCATAATTGCTGCAAACCAACCATGATTCACCTCTAAACCTCCATTAAAACCACCCTTAAACTCCATCGACCCACCACGACAACAAATAAAGAATAGCCATACAAATAATTACTTGAAACCACATAAAAGCAGTTCACAAGGGACCAAAAACTTATTTGTTAAATCCAAAAAAAATCAACCTATAAATTTGCTTCTTAGAAACTATAACACTTAGCTGTTTAACATAATATGCAGCAACTTTTTAAAGTTTTTGTCAAATCAACCATGAAAACCAAAAGATAACCGTAGCAAAAATTTGCACAAAAAAATAGTCCGAAAGGTCTCCTAAACCCATTAAAAATGCAGCTCTTAAGCCTCCATGAATCACCTCTAAACCTTCATTAAAGTCACCCTTAAACTCCATCGACCTACCACAACAACAAATAAAGAATAACTATGTAAATAATCACTTGAAACTGCATAAAAATAGTTCATAAGGCACCAAACACTCATCTGTTAAATCCAAAAAAGCAACCTATACATTTGCTTCTTAGCAAGTGCAACACTTAGCTTTTTAACAGAATATGCAGCAACTTTCTAAAGTTTCACGGATAGTTCCTCTTATGATTATTGTAAGAAACATCCATTAGAGCAAACCGGGGATGCAAAAATTTATTGACAATGTAAGTTAATCTAAAAGTGCTGATTTGAAAGAACATTATTAATATAACGATCCGGCCGGTCGTTTTGAGAGTTATAGCCTCGTTCCCCCATTTTCTGCTTCTTTTGTGTTGTACAATTGTATTATGACTTACCAGGTTAGTTGGTTTGGGTCGGGAGTAATTTCGGAGTGAATTGAGACACTTAGTCTCTTAATTGGAAGTTTAAGTTGGAAGAGTCGACCAGATGTCGATT